CTGATTTTTATTGCCCAGATTTTCAATACCAGATATTTTGGGGGCTTATCTTTCCAGTGCCAGCTCAAACGGTTGGGTTGCCTAGTGTGGGGAATAGTCCCTTCACTCCTTAAAAGAGAATCCCATATTTTGGGGATCCTTTCCTATTGTAGGGTCACCACATCAGCAGTGGGGTCCAGAGAAAGGTCATGTCTTTGCTTTTTTTATTCTTCTCAGTGCATCTCTTGTCTTTTGTTGTGAATATATTGAATTGTTGTAAATACATTGTTCATCTAATTCTCTAGTTCCTCCCTTTCAGAGTAAAATTATTCTATATATAGCTTAAGTTTGTTGTGTTCCTGGGAGGAGGTAAGTTCAGGGTCTTCCTACACCACTGTCTTGGATCCCCTTCCTCCTTAATTTTACATGTCCTCTTTTTTCCCAATACTTAGTGATCCTGATGAAAAAGCACGACAATAATGGCTGTAAGAACTCAGTTATCAAAATGTAACCTTCAAGTGCCAGTTTGCAGTGATGATCACGAGTTCTTAAATGGAGATAACTTTGGTTTAAGAAGGCTGAGCCATAAAAGCAACCCCTTATAATTTAAATTCATCAAATGTAGTGTCAAAAACCAATAACTAATATTTGCCTAGCCTGTGTTTTTTCCTCTATACTACCTTAAGTTTTCCATCAGCCATGTAAGGGCAGTGCATGAGAAAGCTAGATGCCTCACCAATCCTTATAATTCAGAATATCTAAAAAAAAAGACTGATCTCTCCCAGACACCCAGTTACCCCAACAATCAGTAGTAAACACTAAATGGAAAAAAAATACATGTACTGTAAAAGTACATGTTAATAATTACACATTTCTGTATCTAATGAACACAAATCTTTCAGAAGTCATGTAAGTTAGAAATCAGGGTTTTGAAATAGTATTTATCACAGAAAGCTGGATATTAGGGGTAGATTTAAGCTGAATAGATATACTTTTTAAAAATACTTCCTATGTGAAACAAAAATCTATTTTTTCTAGACTGAAATATAGAAATATGTAAAATAAAAATTATTTTGCACTATTTACTCCATGTTGCTTAATAGCCACAATTATACTTTTCAATATTGTATTTAGGAAAGGTTTTTAACTAAGCTGTTCAAGTGTAATAAGCCCCAAGACTCCTGGGAATGTAATTATCTGGTTTGTTTTGAATCAGACTGTCTGCAGTTAGTCTAGTGTTTTAATAAGGTCTGTAAGGATTAGAATCAGTCAACATATGAATTATGAAACTTCTAGTCAACCTGAAGTACAGACAAAAAAAAAAAAAAAAAAGGCTAAATCATGTGGGAAATTGGGTATCCCTGCAGGACTGTGGTATATTATTTACAACCATAGTAAGTATAGGAAATGTAAGATTCAGTCAAGAAAGGTTTTGTCATTGAAGGGAAAAAAGAAATCATATACTTCTCAACATGTAAACTTTCCCAACAGAAGCAGGTAGGTCTTTAGCTACTGTAGCTAACAAAGTGGAAAGAAGTGTTACTGCAGTTTTGATAAACCCAGGTAATTTTAAAATGTGGTCTCTAAGTCTATCTAGTTTAGAAAGAAAATGGTTATCACTATTTTCTCCATAAGAAATTTGCCATATATATTTTAATGAAAATGTTTTTCCATCATTTGCAATTGATTTATTACCTTCTTGGTATTTAACATTATAAATTGATTATAATCAATATGATTTTTTTCTAGTCAAACTGAAAATGTTTTTATTAAAAAAAAAAAAAATCCAGTTGGGCAGAAGTCCACAGATCCCACCAAAAAAGAGGCTCAAAATAAAGGAAAAAGATAAGAAAGTCAAGGAAAGAGTTTATTTTGATGGAGCAAACCAATCCAAATCTAAGACAATAGAACAAAGTTCTCAAAAGAAATTAACCCCACAATTGCTTCAGAGAGAGCTTACTGATAAGAATTAATCTCCCTGTAAACCATAATAGAGAAATCTACCTATAAAAAGTCCAAAAAGTGATTTTAAGGAGTCTAGATAAAGCAACCCTGTGATATAGTTTTAACTGGTACTATATCCCAACAGCATGTAGTTGAGGGAAAGGTCCTTAATTAGCTGTCACAAGTATCAAGTACTGATAGGTGAATCACTTCTGATAAATTTCATTAAAAAATCTCCTGACTCCATCCAACTACCTTTCCTATAGTTCTTACATATTAGTCTTCCCATATTAATTTCCCTTCTGAGATGAGAATGTGATGACTGGCTCATGAACATCATCTGTTTGGCAGCTATGTTTCTGATTGTGATTTATGAAATCTATTTTCTGTTACAATCAGTTCTATGTGAGCTTAGGTTGGGTCCTGCGTGACAACTCTAGAAACTGCATTGTTTCTGTCAAGACTTTAGACTATCCCAGTGGGAGACCAGGCCCTGGAACAAAGGTAGCCACAGCCTGGCTTACACTCTACAGGGATCCAGATGGGAGTGTCTATCACAAACAATAGTGCTGAGGTCGTAATCTGCACTGTTATTTGTAAGTGGATTCAGAGCCCAGTCCCATTAACTAACCAAAGGTATTTCTACTATCATATTAATTTATATAAGTTATACAAAATGTCTGAAAACATGGCAGCCAAGATAACGATTCTAAAAGATATTCTAGGGGTGCCTGGCTGGCTCAGTCAGTAGAGCATGCAACTCTTGATCTCAGGGTTTTAAGGTCAAGCCCCATGTTGGGTGTAGAGATTACTTAAAAATAAAAAAAAAATAGGAGCACCTAGGTGGCTCAGTTGGTTAAGGGTCTGACTCTTGATCTCAGCTCAGGTCTTGATCTCAGGGTTGTGAGTTCAAGCCCCATGTTGGGCTCCACACTGGGCATGGAGTGTACTTAAAAAATAGTAAATTAAATAAATAAAAATTTAGAGATATTCTAAAACCCCAAAATACAAACTGTCTGAACTTGAGTATGGTTCAGTTAGGTGAGCAGAAGTTCTCTTGAAGGAGATCTAACACCCTAAGTGTGAATAGCTCTTGTGTGATTATATTGTCTTATGTTTAAAGTCCAAATAATGTTTTTAAGTGGAGGGGGAGGGAATAATGTATCATTTTCTCACTTAGGTATTTTGGGTACTGCAATTTTATTTTACATTCTATCACATTAAGTCTTCTCATTGAATGGAAAAATAATTTGCCTCTACTCAGCTTTAATAGTAAAAATGTGAACTTTGGAGAACATGAAATACAAAGAGAAATCAAGTTCATTATATAAACAAAGGGTATTCAAATATCTTTATTTTGCCACAGGGAGTGTAATAAAGGAAAAAGTAATAATTGAATCTTTACTAGATTAAATGACAGTTTAGGGAGGAATGTTTTGTTAGCTTACCCCAAATTAAAGAATACATCAAGGAGATGCCTGGGTGGCAGAGCTGGTTGAGCATCCAGCTCTTGGTTTCCACTCAGGTTGTAATCTCAGGGTTGTGGGATTGAGACCTGAGTCAGGCTCCATGCTCAGCATGGAGTCTGCCTGGAATTTTCTCTTCTCCCTATGCCCCTCCCCGCTCTCTAAAAAAAGTAAATTTTTAAATCAATGCACCAAGTACTTTTTAAATTTATTACCTTTAATGAACTATGTTTAACATTTTACAAATCTTCAGATTGTTACAGTTTTCAGCAGTAAATATAGTAATAATGGCAATAAATACAATGAAATGTGCGATTCCTCTGTTGAAATACAAAACAAAGAAATACTTAGAAAGAAGAGAGCAGTATGTCAACTTAAGGTCTGAGATGGAAATTAACATGGTCAAATTCTTTACGATGCCAAAACATGGGTAAATGAGTCATTCACTATAAATGAATACAAACTTTGAGCTTCACCTTTCTGGGAAGTTTTGAGGGACATTATTTGACCCACAGATTCCTAAAACTCTGTATGTATTGATATCAGAGGATTCAAACACAGAAAGTGATCTGAAAATGATTGCCAAAGCAAAGAAGTGCTTTTATTCCTCAACATTTGTGACCTTCGTGGTATACTGTGTATTATAAAAGGGCGTAAACCCTATACAACTGCATAAATATCATAAAAATTGATTTTATAAAGTCTCAAGATCATAATATGTATTCAAAAATACATATAGCTGTGCTTTAGTAAGCGAATCCATCAGTTAATTGAGGGATAATTTTGCTTTTAAGATATATCCAAAGTATATACAAAGGATCCACAAATGTTAACAATTTGTGATCAAAATTCTCAAGAGTTACATTTGCAAAAAACTGTTGGTTTTCAATTTAAAAATTTAAGAAAGTTGTGAATATTGTAGGGTAATTATTACTTGGGTTAAGAAAAAGTAGATGGCTTCAGCTTTTTAACAGGAAATTTGTGAACTACTCACAAATGAGAAGTTACACATTTTTGATCATTAGAAAAGGTAAATTGCCTATACTTTCCCATTGAGAACAGACTGTGCAGTGTATAAAAAAAAAATTCTGAAACCAAAAAAAGTATTTCTAGAAAAGCCCCTGGGGATACATCTCATTTCCTTTTACATAAGAATGAATAAGTGGCACACTTGAATGATATACCCTTATATCAACATGTGTATTCCATTACCAAGCTAAAAGATGAAACATTTTTATTTAAAGGTAGGGAAAATATAAACTTAAAATATTGAAGTGCACCATTTTACTACATAGTTTCTAGCTTCATTCCAACATAACTTATCAATATAAACTGGAGTCAAAAAAACACAAAAGAGAAATGTTACTTGCATGCAAAACTCATTGTTCCAACATGAACCACTAGGTCTATATTTTTTAATTAACAAAAACTGCACATCTGTTTAATTTGGCTAACATAAAGAAAATGCACATTAAAGAAAGATGTTAGCGTATTATCCTTCCAATAAAGCAAGTCTATATCAAAGGCACTTCAGCAGAGCACTAACTCTGTAACCTTTTCCAAGTCATTTTCATTTATGCCACTTTTAATGCATCTCTCTGTAGACCAATAAGAAACCTCCTACTCAAAAAACTAAACCTAGGTATTACCCCAAATATTTCTCCCTCCTATGGATTGGATAAAATATGGCAAACTTTTGCCTATGTTTTTAAGTTCTTTGGGTTAATTCAGAAAGGAGTATTATCTGACAGGTTAGGTGTTATAGGAAAAACTAAAGTAATTACAGGAAAAAACTGGCTGAAGTCGACTATCTTGGGGGAAAAAAAAAATGGTTGTCTTTCACTGACTAGCCATCTATAATTTGACTAAAGTTAATATGGCTAATTTTGCTTCTTTCAAATTGTTTATGTGCCTTGGGTCTCTATGTTGCTCCCATGTTGAATAGAAGAGGATGAGAAATAAAGTAATTTAGTTTTACTTTTCCCCCAAGGGAAAGGGGAAGCTGCTTCAGATATTTGCCTTCATGGAAATTTTAAGAAAAATGGGATGAGCTGATTTTAATTAACAAAGAGCTTTATTTTTAGGACATATGAATGATAATTCAGAGTTGAAGACAATTATAATTAAAAACAGCTGTTGAATGTATTCATTCTGAATTCTTTTCTATATGAAAAGAGCATGGATATATTACTTTCAAAACTAGAAAAAATGTTGCAAATGCTCCAAGTGATTTAAAAAAACTTTTTTCTCCATTAAATTGAAATATTTCCTAAAACATGTTTTATGAATGTCAAGAGAAAAACATCTGGATATATACCCTAATATTCTAAAGGTTTTTTTGAGTCATAGGGAAATAGAATTTATTTTCCTGCTCATCAACATTTCAAAAAAAAATGAAATGTTCATTTCTTTTAGCTTCACATATTTTGTTAATAAACTGAAAGTTTCTTATGATCACCTATATATTAAATTTTAAATCAAGTTTAAAATGAATGAATGGCGGGGGGATAGAAAAAATATCCTAAAGCTGATTTTAGCCTACATGTATCAGTGAGTCTTAAAGATATAGGTTTTGTTTTGTTTTGTTTTTTCAGATTGCTAAAAGTTTTCCTTGACAGCTAAGCTCATTTCACTATAGAAGCAGGGAAAAAAAGAAAATTTAAAATAAAAATGAAAGTATCAGAGCGTTCATTTTTCAGATTTCTAAATAACAAGTTAACATCTTATCATTTATCCTGTGAAGTTATATCCAAACACAACCAAAGAGCTGCTATTTCCCTCTCTAACAACCAAGTAGCTTCTTGCCTATCTTACATGAGTAAGATTTATTTTGGGGTTGATACAGTACACATGCCGTTTATTGCAGAAAAGGAAATGTTGTTTGGCCTTTAAATTCTAGAGTAACACCAACAGAGAACATTTATTGTTATTTTCACCTATAGGCAGAGGAGAACATAACAGTAATATTTCACAAGACTATGATGCCCAAAGAATACAGTTTCATTTCTAAATGTTTCGCAGGGGCAGGCATCAAAGCAGAGGCAACATTTTTGGAAGCAACTTTGGGGGAGTACACATTTCACTGTTATTCTTAAGAGGGCTAAATTGGCTGAATGAGCAACATTTTCAGATAACTAACAAACATCCTGAAACTATTTTACATTTTGAGCTCTTGGATACTTCAAATTCATCACCCAAAAATAAATGAAAAGAATAGGCCAGAAAAAGCATTTCTTGGTATCTTTCTCTTTCAGTAGTGAATTGCCATTTTACTATTTACTCTGCTTGAGACATGTCCAGGGACCATGAGCTTGCTCAGTCTCAACTTCTTAAAAAGTTCATACAGCAATTTACAAGAAGCAAGAATAAACAACACGAGACAGCGGAGACACAACCACCCTCGGCGTTAATTTATGGGAAGCAGTGGGCGTTCCTCGCGCTTCTTCCAAATATTAGTCTTGCTATCCTTTTTGGCTAGTGGTGGTCTGCCCCTCTTTTTCGTGGGGGATATATTGGCTTCAAAATCTTCAGCAGTGCTTTTTCTTCCTGGAGACTCCTCCCCAGGGTGTTCCATGATAGCCCCGCTCCCTCCGTCTAGGATGTGCCTTAAAGCCGGGTCCTCAGGGGAGCAAACAGTGGTCCCACTCTCGCTACTGCTCAGGTCTAAATCTTCTAAGTAAAGGATCTTAGGCGGATGCATGCTTTTGATGAAAGTTTTCTCCCTCTCGAGTTTTCTACTTGAGTGGTGCTCATTCATGTCCACCCCAGAGTCCAAACTCGTGTCATTGCTCTGGGCTCTCTTGCCCTTTTTCAGGTCTATAAAGGAATGTCTCACTTGTGCGACTGGTTTTCCATCAAGAGACACAAACCATGCTCTGGGGTGGGGGGAAGGCTTTCCTTTGGACAGCTCCAGGAGGGTCTGTTCTGAAATTCCTTGAAGCTCTGATGAGAAGGGAGTCATCACGACAGCTTCATTTAGTGTTCCAGGCACAGAAACCGATTCTAGTAAGCTGTTTGAATACCGGCTCCAATCTGAAGTTTGCGATGGCAGGCTCTGTTGCCCTTCGAGTGGGATGTTCTCTTCCCTGGCAGCTGGGGGCTGTGCGTGAGAATGCACTGGCATTTTGGGCAATGTCTGTGTAAAGTTCTCTCTGCTTACTGGTTCCATCAATTGGCCATAGACTAACTGTCCCTTTCTTGGCAAAGTAGCTGACTTAGCAGTATGTACCTGCTCTGGAGTGGCAAAAAGGTCAGACGTTTGAAGAATGGCAATGGGTTGGCTGTAGAGATGCATAAGCTGTTCAGGAATGTGGGAATGTCCATACACCTCCTCATTACCTGTGAGGTATCTCTTTTCCTCTTGTGCATCACCTAGAGATGAAGACAGATTGTTGTTCATATGTTTAGGTTGTTTAGACCCTGCAGTGGCCTCCAAAGACTGTGTTGGGTTTCTTGAGTAATTGTTTTGACTGGCTGATAGAAATGGAACATCCTCATTGTAGATTTTAAAATTGTCCCGAGTTTTTACCATGGAAACTCTTTCTTCTGCTTCTGCCTTTGATGGCTCCTTTTTCTGAGGGCTATATGAGGAGTTTTTGGCATTAAATAACTGTGACTTGTCCTCAGCTTTTAATGCAACTTTGACTGAACTGATATGATTTATGTGTGTGGTTGAAGTTGTCTGGTCTCTCTTGAGGACTTCGAGTTTAGTGATATTTCTTTCTCTTTTCTGTGGAGTACCACACTTATCCCTAGAGTAGAAGAGATGGCACAAAGTGTTTAAAACTTATGATCCAGAAGAGTCATTAAAAAAAAAAAACAAAACTATCCCATAACATGTGTATTATATATGCAATGCTGTTAGAGTATATCCACTTTTATTTTAATCTACATATTATAAAAATCAAACTAATTTTTATAAATAAACTCCGTAATACCCATAACACACTGACGTGATACTATAATGATAGTTTTGTGTGTTTGTACATATTAATATTTCTCTTACCTGCAATAACAAAGAAGCACAGCAAAAAATCCAATGACAATGACTACTGTGCCTCCTAATATGGCAGTGAGGAACACCGTGTGGTAGGCAGTTATGTCCCTGGAGTCTCCATTTCTACCTGAACCTATATACAGAAAATATATCATTTTAGATCAAATTTTCAACCACGTCCTATTCTGGGGAAGGCAGATTAAGTATGCGTACACGGTTGTATTTGGTTGCTCCGGTCTCAACAGCAGGCTTCCCAGTGGGTGGAGCATATGTTCCCCACACTTTGGGCTTCATCAGTTGACTTGTTCTGCTCAATGAAATGTGAGCCCCTTAAATGAGGCTGCATGATACGGCCCTGCCCTCTTGCTAAGACCCTCTAATATATGAACAGTGTATCCCACGGTACTGCCATTCCTTCAGCCTATGTTCTGGAATGAGAACAAATGTTGAACTGAACCAAGCCAAGCCCAACAGTCATGACAGTGGCTTCCAGGCCCGACAGTGAGGAAGCTTGCTTCAGCAGGCGGTAAAACTGACCCATGTTGTATGGTAGCAAAATATTTGGTGGAATAAACTAGGAGAAAATATTTCTGTGCCCAGAGGTTTGGGGATAGAATGTTGGTAGTGAGCGTTGACTTATTAGCTATAATCAATTTTAAAAGAAATTTTAAAGATAAATTCAAAAAAGAATTTGCCAAGGTAAGTAGGTATGAAAGGTTTTCTAGAAAGGAAAATTGGAGGACTTGAAGGATTCCAAGTTGCAACTCTTTCAGCCCGGCCTCTAGATTAAGAAGATGCCATGCAGAGGTACAAATGACCCATTATCTTCCTGTATGAGAACACAAAGGTACACTGCTGTTGGAATCCGCTTAAGTGCAATAAAAGTGGATTAATGCACCGGGATGATCAGTTGTAGGCTATGAAGATTCTGCATGAAAATAAACGCAACCAATGTTGAGGTAACCTGTTTTAATATCACTAAGACTGCACTTGGTTCACAAATGTATGTAACAAGTCTACTGATCATTACCAACTAGAGTCTCATATGTATTCAGGATGATAAGGTGATAAGAGTAATGAGACAACTGGTTTTCTGGCAAGCTCTACCATGAGAATGTCCAGAATAAAAGACTGAGGATCACAAGGTCTTTGGATCCTTTAACTTTCACGTTATCTAATTTGATAAAAATAAATAATAATGATAGTAGTAAAGGTTTCGGAGAATCAGTACTGTGGTTATGCATACAAACTTTGGAGCCAGTGTGTCTCAATTAGAATCCTGGTCTATTTCTCTTTTAAGAAAAACTTGCTATTAAAATTTAATTCTCGGGCGCCTGGGTGGCTCAGTTGGTTGAGCGACTGCCTTCGGCTCGGGTCATGATCCTGGAGTCCCTGGGTTGAGTCCCGCATCGGGCTCCCTGCTCGGCGGGGAGTCTGCTTCTCCCTCTGACCCTCCTCCCTCTCATGCTCTCTCTCATTCTCTCTCTAATAAATAAATAAAATCTTTAAAAAATAAATAAATAAATAAATATATACATTTCTTCCACCCTCACCCATTCTGGGGAGGAACAGAAAACCCCCACCCCCTCCATTCAGGAGATTCCACGTATAAAGCCTGATATGGTGAGGATGAAGTATAAAAATAGTATTTACAAAAGGGAAGACGGTATCTGTTGCTACCTTAACCTTCAGACACCTCCATTCCCCATCCCCACAGGACCCTTTTGCTCCTTTAGAAAAAGTTCCTGGGAACTCATGTAAGTGCAGAGGCCTCTAGACTTGTACTCAAACCTCAACATCACTGTTTACTCCGTAACATTCTCATTTATTTCTTGGGCAAGTTTCCTTACTTTGTGTCTCAGTTCATATCTGTCAGATCTCACCTATGTGGGTTGTTACAAGGATTAAAAGTTAATACTTACTTACTATTAAAAGTTAATACTTACTAAAACACTTAGTGCTTAGCACATGAGAAGCAGTCAAAGTGTTACCTGTATGACACCATTGTTGTTGAATGAAACTTCAAGGTCATGAAAGAATAGGCACTCCAGTATTGGCCACACTTTCCCATATATATGGTAGGTAATAATAGACAACCAAGTATAGCATTGCACAATATGAAATTTCTTCAAACAGAAAAGAAATAAGAGTAACAATTCTATCTGCAGATTCTTATTCAGGATCCAGAGCTGCAATGGAGTAAAGTTTGATAATAACTGGATGAAATTCAACTTCTAAGGATATATGAATATATGTTTCTGCAATAGAACCACTTTTGGAAATAAGAGGCTGATACTGTTGGGTTTCCCCAAAATTTTATATGTAGGACAACAGCAAAAAGTATGCGCGCGCGTGTGTGTGTGTGTGTGTGTCTAAAAAGACAAAGGCAGAAAAGGATATTTTCACTTAAATATATTTGAAAATGCATATTTAAAAACAGTCCTAAGTACTTGATTTTTAAACTCTACTATAGAAATCTATGAAAAACAATTTGATTTTAATTTCTTGTACTTATTTTCCAAGGAATTCTAGAATTCTATTTAAGACTTATTTAAAAAACAGATTTAGTATGTTATTAACCAAATTTTAAGTAAAGTAGCTTCAGCACACCAGACACTAGTCCATCAGAGGACCAACTTTGATTTTACAAAATGTGATTTTACTCAAAATCTACACTTTGGGGGGGTGGGGACATTAGGGATCATCATATCCAACTCCTACAATTTAGAAATAAGAAAACTAATACTAAAATGGGTAAGTACCTATTTCAAGGTCAGCCAGATATTTACTGGCAAAGCCAGAGCTATAATCAAGCTATCTGTATTTCTAGTATAGTGTTCCTTTGACTGTGATATACTTGTGGGTGGATTTTTCAAAAGCATCAGTAGAAGCTATCTAATTCAAACTAAATGGGAATCCCACACTTCTATTTTAGTACTCTGATTCATACAAAATCTTTTCCAACATATAAGCTAAAACAAAATTTCCACCTACTCTAGAAAATTATTTGACTTTTATAATTCATAGTCATCTTATATAAATTGATTTCAGGTATATTTTTTGTGTAAAGTACATTTCTCTATAAAACTCAAGTGTTCTTTAGGTTATGTTTATTAGAAATGAAATAACTTGCATTTAGTTGAGTTGAGGTATTAAATATTAATTGTTCTTTTTCATCAATATTTCATTATAGTTGCAAATCTAGAATTAAATAAGGCCAGACAGCTGGCAAGACTGCAGGATATTTTGCATCACGAAGAACAAAATAACCACCCTCTGGTTTCTGAATAAATAATCTCATAAGCACTAAGTTCAAACAAAAACAGGGAGAACATCCCCCTTGATCATAATGGTTAATGGCTCATATTTCTTCTATTGGAATCCTAAATTTGGGTTTCATTGGGGGGAAAAAAAAAGGTCTTGTTACCTTGCATGGTTTAAAATTCAAAGGTTGTCAATATAAAATGAAAAAAATTAAACTATTAAAAAAGACATTTTCAGAAAGAACAGAACCTTCAAATTATTAATAGACAGCCATAACAAAGTTAGGTGATTGAATGCTGTAGAGAAATGTATGTATATGTATGTAAAATGTCACCCACATCCTGGATCGGGGTATGCATGGGACTGTTCCCGACTAGCACCTCAACTGGGAGCCCAGACCCTCAATAAACCAAAAGAATTCTCTGACACATGATTAAAGATGTAGGAATGACCTACGCATTCAACCTTCACACTCCCTCCAAAACTTCACTAAAATGACACTGAAAGTTTTGCTTTGTTTTGTTTTTCTAAATCAACCAGCCCACAGGTTAACGGAGAAAAGGAGAACAAGAGAAAAGGAGAACAAGATAAAAGAGGAAGAAGGCGCTGAAGGCTGGAAAGCTGACTTAGCAAAGCTGGCAACAGGGAAAGCCAAGAAGCAACTCAGCTGATCCCAGTGAGCACCCAGAAGGCCCATAAAGTCGGAGCAGGCCAGTGGTGCAACCAGTCTACACGACCACAGGTTAGAAGACTTTAAGAAGATTTAATGGATAAAACATGCAATGTTTGAGTATTTTGAGAGATTTACATGACTCAAGATGCATGTGTGATTTCCTTACTACAAATCATATAGATAATCTGATAGCATGTTAAATCTAGGAAAAGTAAAATACTCATTTGTCCTAGAATATGAACAGACAGTTCCTAGTGGACAAGTCTTAGCTTTTGTCCACCTCCAGTTCCTATGTCAGGCCAAACCTTCATTCGGGGTATCGCATGTCTTATCTTGGAAACAGTATGGGGACACTATTTTTCAACAGCCCTTAACCCCAGGAGTGTGCTCATGACCCAAGTCTGGGCCAACCAAATTCTTCATCCCTAGAATGCAGGAACAGGGTGAGGAAAAGACTGCAAAGGGTCAGAGTCAGCCCTATATGTAACAGCAATCTTGCAAAGTCACACAGTCCTGCTAACTGGGGTCCCTAGGATTCCTGGCTTTTGGAATCTAGTTCTTTAGCCTTTCCTGGCGTCCAGTGAACTCCCTATATCCTAATTTTATGTAATTTTTATGTAATTATCCAAGAGCTGTTCCTGTGGCTCACAACCCAAGGCTCTAACTGATGTGGGTGGAATTTATTCTTGCGAAGTAAACATTTGATTTGAACAAACTTTATACTTCACAGATTCATCAGACATCATAGCCATAAAGGACCTTAGAGTTCATTGAGCTTAATCTTTTCTTATACACATGAAAAAATATTAAAATAAAGCTGAGATCAAGAGACTAGAAGCTTTTTCCAACATTATATAGTCAGTAAGTGGCAATGTTTACAATAAAATCAAGACCTAGCAGTATTCCAGTTTGCCTATTTGGATTTTTTTTTCAAATTACTTTTGTTTCATTTTTACAATACCTCTAGTTCCTGGAAATGGAGCTGCTATCCAGTAGCCCAAATGTGGTGCATCATATGTCCAAATTAAGTGATTATTATATGCCTTGACTGTTCCCCGGCCATGATTTACCCAAGCACCTATAAAAAGGCAAGTAAAAAATACCAGTTAGTTTATACGTCTTTAATGCTGATAGGAGTTTGCTGATAGTCATGTATAGAATACTTTGCAGGACTCTTTCAAAGATTACGAAAACTCTGGCAATATGTTATCCTGGGATAATATATATTATATCATAATATAGTGCATATTGGGGTGCCTGGGTAACTCAGTCGGTTGAGCGTCTGACTCTTGGTTTTGGCTCAGGATATGATCTCAGGGTCGTGAGATTGAGCCCCACGTTGGGCTCTGCACTTGGCGTGGAGTCTACTTGGGATTCTCTCTCTCCCTCTCCTTCTACCTCTCCCCTCATTCACATGTGTTCTCTCTCTAAATAAATAAAGAAATAAAGTCTTTAAAATATATTTATAGTCATATTATAATAATGTATACAATAGAATGATTTGAATGCTTGTTATGACTAAAGAAAATAAAGTCCTTATAAATAAGAAAGTATACATATTTAGGGAAATCATGACTCTCTAAGCAATGTTTAAATGTGCATATCGAGGTATGTCTTAAGGATGTGAATAGTGAAATCCAAATTTATCAATAGGCCGTTATTTGTCCCCTGTTCTGGGATTCTGATTAAACACTTATAATGTATATTTTATGGCCTCATTAATTTTTTTATTAAATACTGTTTGGGTCTATTACTACTGGCATGGCTCTTTTAGAACCAAATTTTTAAGAATATTTTTTAAAATGCTATCTGCTCTGGGGTGCCTGGGTGGCTGGGTCAGTTAAGCATCCTACTCTTGATCTCAGTTCAGGTCTTGATCTCAGGCTCATGAGTTCAAGCCCTGTACTGGGCCAGTGTGGAGCCTACTTTAAAAAAAAAAAAAAAAAGTAAAATGAAATGCTATCTGATCTAATAAAATGCCATCCATAGACAAAGAATTCAGTAAAACCCAGTTCTTCTATAGAGTTCAGCATAACAACGCTTTTTTATAAATTCAGTGTGTATTTGTACTTGGTTTGTTAATTCACTGTCATGATACATCTACAACATGTAAAACAGTGTTTTTAATAAGGTAGACAAACTTGATGGAAATGGATCAGCTTACTGCTTTTAAATAGTCACATTAAGCATTACATCTCTGATATATGAATTCAAATATTTTGTTACTGGAAGGTATGTTAGAGACAAGGGCCTTTGTCAGGATGAACAATCAGAACTCAACACAGCTATTCTTTGAAATATTTTAAATTTTTTTTTTTTTTAAGATTTTATTTATTTATTTGAGAGAGAGAGAATGAGAGAGAGCAAGCACATGAGAGGGGGGAGGGTCAGAGGGAGAAGCAGACTCCCTGCCGAGCAGGGAGCCCGATGCGGGACTCGATCCAGGGACTCCAGGATCATGACCTGAGCTGAAGGCAGTCGCTTAACCAACTGAGCCACCCAGGCGCCCATATTCTTTGAAATATTTTAAAACAACTCTTTTATTCAACAAATTAGGAAATTCAGGCCCAAATAAGTGGTTTAAAATCCCACTGCTGGTAAATGGACTAGACTCCAGGGCTTAGAGCTTTTACTCCAGTGATTACAACATACTATATTTGGTCTTAGTCCCCAGTCCTGGCACAGAGCTTCTAAAATCTTTGGAGTTTCCTATGTGATAAAAGGTGAAAAGAGTGCATCTTGTTGTTCATAACAAGCCACTTTCAACCACACCTGATTTTATGTTAACGAGGTGATTTTTGGAAAGTCCCAGAGGGTGCTGGTTGCCAGGTAAAACCCACCATGTGATTACAGGGTTGGAACTTTCAGCTCCACCCTACACACCCCTCCGGAGAGGGCAGATGGGCTGAAGATTAAGGTCAGTCACCAATGGTCAATGGCAATGAATCAGGCCTACATAATGAAGTCTCCATAAAAACCCCTGAACTACAGGGTTCAGAAGGCAGAGTTGGTAAACACATGGAGGTGGTGGGAGGGTGATGCACCCAGAGGAGAGGATATCCTTTCATAATAAACTGATAATCTAGTAAGTAAACTGTTTTCCTGTGAGCTGTTCTAGCAAATATCGGTCATGGGAACCTCCAATTTGTAGCTAGTTGGTCAGTAGCACAGATGACCAACTGGACTTGCACTTGGCCTCTGAGGTGGGGGCTAGGGGGCAGTCTTGTGGGACTGAGTCCTTAACCTGTGGGATCTGATGCTAATTCCAGGTAGACAGTGTCTAAATTGAATAGAATTTTAGGACACCCCGCTGGTGGAGAACTGCTTGGTGTGAGAAAAACAATCCCCCTCTCCCCCTGTATTTGGTGACCTGAAGTGAAGTACTGAGTGTAGAATCACACTGAGAGGAGAGTTTTTTCCCTTACAACTATCTTTTTTACTTATATAGTTTCCATTCTTTCTTAAAAGCATGTATATATTATTTATTTACTTTTTATGGTAAACATTTGTTTGGGGTTTTTTTTTTCCCTAACTACCCTTCTAATTACAGTGAAGTCTCATTCCATCTCTTTGAAGGTTGATGGCTCCCTGTTTTCAATCCACATGATTAGTTTGGGGCTCCAACACAGAACCTTAAGCCTTAAAAAAATAATAAAATAAAATAAATAAATCTGTACATTCTGTTTGTAAATCACAAACATTGGTTCTGAGATGGGCACGAAAACTCCATTCTATAATTGCAATTAACCCAAGAGCTTGTGCAATTGCTACTAGGGAAAGAATCTTTCTTTCCATTAGACTTTAACATGGCTAGGTATAAAGTCTGAGCACCTACACCCTTCTTGCCACTCTGAAGGTAAATCCTATCCCAGAAAGGTATTAGCACAGAGGGAACAGATGAGAGAATCAAGTCCTGTGAAACTGTCTAGGCTCTGTATCCTGACTCATCCAAAACAATTATGGATCATATCCCTTTTTTTGTTTTGTTTTGGCAACTTAAAGACTCCCATCTTATTTATACAGAAACACAAGAACAAAACAAAGGGAAGCAGAGGAGGAAAACGTGCGTCTATTTAGGAGGCTAAACTCAGGGACCAAAATTGGTATCTGAGTTTCTTGTTTTGGGATTTTTTTTTTTTTTAAATAATCACTCTGTATCTTAATAATACAATGTTACTTATTTTCATGAAATTAACATACATTTCTCAATTGCCTTAACCAAACTTTTAGATACAATTTCATATTGTCTATCAAAACAAAAGCCTGTAAGAGTAGAAATAATTTTTTAAAATGTATTTCTACTTTTCTATTCAAGATCTTGGGGGAGGCTCAGTCAGTAGAGCACACGACTCTTTTTTCTGGAGTGGGGAGAGCGAACATGAGCGGGGCGGGGGACAGAGGGAGAAGAAGACTCCCTGCCTCATATCCATGTGGGGACTCGATGCTTAACTGAGTCACTCAGGGGGCCCAAGCACATGACTCTTGATCTTGGGATTGTGAGTTTAAGCCTCATGTTGGGCATAGAGCTTTAAAAAAAAAAAAAGGCATGGGAATGTGAGTAAATAATGCCATTTTTTTAATGTAGTATATTGACATCATTTTCCCCATAGTTGTATTATACTAATCAAAGTGGGCCAATTTTAGTCATTTTAAAGTGCTTAAAAGAGTAACATCTAGTGCCAATATACATCAATAAAGCTAAAAAAATTTTAATAGTAATATAGAAACTTATTTCTAAGAGCAAACATTCAAACATTCAAAAAGGGCAATATCCAAAATATTTTCACCTAGTTCACATACCTATGTTCATATCAAATGTCCAGGCAGGTATGTGATCCCCTGCACTTACATCATTTGTATGTAGAAGGGGGAGAGAAACTTGAATAGAGCCATCCACCTTTAATTCTTTTCCTCCAGAATATATTTTCACACATATTGCAGCAAGAGGAGTCAATTCAAGACTTTCAAAACCTAAAAAGGAAGACAGTTTATTAAAAATCATATGCAAAATACAGGTTGTTGTTGCATACTAATAAAAGTAATATGGGCCTAAAATATTTAAGTCCTTTATCCACCTAGGGTTATCCATTTTAATATCAAATAGATACTGGATCCTCATTAAAGAATTTTAAAATATATCATAAATACAGGTGATACCTATATAACTTGACAAATCAATATGAGCCTAGAGATCTAATTCTTTTGGAGTCATGTGATTTAAGGTCACTGGAATCTAATTCAGTGTTTTAAAAACCTACAAAACAACAACAAAAATACATCTCACTAGTATCCTACCCAAATAAAGGTTCTACCATATCACATCATCAATACAGATATGGGTCTAAAACTTGGTCTCTCCTGCTTCCAAGAGCACCTGTTTCAAGTACGAGAACCAACAGACTCAGTTATACTCCTTAAAGTTACCTTGTGTCAAAAACGTTCTGACTCAAAATGCAAATTTGATAGGTTTGACAAACATGAAACGAAATCAGCAATATTGTTAGCTGATAAAGATAATAAGCTTTGATGTACATTTGATTAATAGCATAATTGAAAGAATATAAACTTAGGCTAAATATAAGTATTAAAATACTAGATTTCAAAGCTTGAAAAGTAGGGAAAGTGAGATTAATAGAATTGGTTATAGTGTTTTGCCTAAGGCTTTAAAGTATGATTATACATATAATTTATAACACACCTTCTTAAATATCAGGATCTACCTATATTTCTCTATCACTGACAGGAAAAGAGTAGAAAATGCATTTGTTTTGTTTTTAAATATTAGCAATGCCAAAGTAATAATATAACCAGAATATTTATAATGAATAAAGTAATATGGTTAAAGATGTTACAATTTAATATAAATTTTCTATAAATAATTTGGTAATTTTAGATTTCCCAGTTAAATTTACTAATACATTAGAAAGAGTTGACTAAGGTATATTTATTACATATTATTTGCTCTTCATGGATAAACTTGAATCTTCAGCTTAAAAGCTAGAGTTCTGTTCATTGATTCAGCAAATATTTATAACGAGTCCCTACTGGCACCACATACTCATCTTGGTTCCAGAGATGCAGTGGGTACGTGATGTCTTACACTGGCTTGCAATATTTTTTTCACAATCCTCATATTATCAAAAATGCTTTTTTCCATTTCTTTGCCCATTGTCATTTTTCCCCCCATTCAAATGTCAGTGTGTGGTAGAAGGTACCTTACCAGGGCTTTGAGGAAATTCTGGAAAGGCAATGTAATTGCAGGGTCATAAAAGCTGCCTCTCTGAGGAGGGGATGTGTGAGCTGTGGCCAAATGATTAAGGGGCCATCCATGCAAAGACCTCAGAAAGTGAAAAGCCCCCAAATCAGAAGTAATCTTGGTATGTGCAAGGATGAAAGAAGGCTGAAGGGCAGAGAGGTAGAAATAGCAGAAGGCCTTTGAGTCCGTGGAAAGGAATTCTCATTATCACTTCTACTGTACCTGGTGTATATCTTCAGTTATCAGACAGAGCAACTATTGACTTAATGAAAAACTTCAATTAAACATCTTTGTAAGCTTCCTGAAACACTAATCATAAGATGAGCAAAATAATGCCATACATATTTTATAGACTCGTGACACAAGTAAAAGTCCAAGGTAAGCCCAAAGAAATTATCAAGTATCTGTTAGTAATTGTAATTTCTTGTATCGAACTATTCGGTAAAGCCTGCTGGCTTTCTGAGGTGACTGCTCTTAACTCCACCCCCAGCCCCCAGTTCTTTGCAGTCAGTGGCTTCACATACTAAATGCAGCTGAAGCTGATGAGATCAACCAACCCCACCACCACCACTTGGGATAAGGCCAACTCAAAGAAGAGAATGGTAGAGGGAAAAGGATTAAAGACAATGAAAAGGAGGCAACTTGAAAAAACACTTTCGTACTCACAGAGCTCTAGAACTAAGCCACCAGCAACATGTGGCAACTTAAATTCAAAGGACATTAGTGCTTTAGTTCCTCAGTGCACTAGTCATACTTCAGGAGCTCAACGGGCACATGTGGCCAGTAGCTACCACACTGGACAGAGCAGGACAGTCCCATTTGACAGCACTGCTCTGGAACTTTTAAAATGTTAGCAGCATTCTCAAGATAATGAAACATTAAATGAATAATCTCAAAAGCAGGTGGTAGAGGAATGCTGGAAGGGAGAGTATATTATGTCCCCTTCTCACTGAACCTAATGAGTCTCGTCATAAAAACTCTCCAAAAAAGCAACACGAGCTTCCTCTATGATACAGTATACTGGTATCATTCTTGTCAATGTTTGTGCGCATCTGAGAAATCTTGGCAGGTGTCTTAGATTGGCTTCTTCAAGAACTGACCCCTGAGAGAACAATTTGGAAGGAAGTACCCATCACTGAGGGAGTGGAAGAGTACAGAGAAGAAGGAAGGAAGCCAAAAGAGGATATATGAAGGAACAGATATGTACTCTCTTTGTACTCTTGTCTGTTGTCGAGAGCTTGCCTGTGTGAGGGCCAGCCCTGCTTGCTGGACTCCGGAATGTCCTGAGGCAGGTGTGTGCAGTAGGAAACACAGGCCTGTAACAGAACAGTGAGGGTCATCTTGCTGGAGCATCGCTACAGCAGGCAAGAAAGAAAACAAAACCAAAACATCTACACGTTTATTACTCTAATTTCTGGTTGTTCCACAAATGAAATGGACCGGAATATGACACAACTGAAGTCATCAAAATTACAGATTGTCTGAGGTGATTTTTAAAAACAGTGGAGAGTCAGTTATATGTTGCAACAAGTGGCAGAACTGGTGGCACAAATGTGGACGTACAGAGGAAAGAGATTTTTATGGGGTTTATTCATGGGTGCATTAAATCAAATGTAAAATCCCATCATCCTCTTACCTTTTAGGTCATGACAGCCATAGGTACATAGACGCTGCTGAATCTGGGATACAGTTGACCCCTGAACAACATGGATTTGAACGAGCAGGCCCACTTATGTGGACTCTTTTTAATAAATACAGTACTATAAATGTATTTTCTCTTATGATTTTAACATGTTCCTTTCTCTAGCTTATTGTAAGAATATAGTATGTAACACATATACAAAATATGTTTTAATAGACTGTTACTGGTAGGGCTTCTGGTCAACAGTAGGCTATTAGTAGTTAAGTTTTTGGAGAATCAAAAGTTATACAAGTTTTAACAGTGGGGGGGACAACCCCTGCAGTGTTCAAGGGTCAACGGTATATATTTTTAAAATATTTATAATTTTACTCATAGGGAATATCAAATATATTTAAGAAAAACTTCCAATTGCTTACTCTAATCTATAAACTTTTTTGTCTAACAATTATAATTAATTGGATAAGATTGACTAGAAGGTCAAATTATAAAAATATGTATAAATCAAATTTTCATTTTTAAATATATTTTTTAACTTGCAAAGTTATACAACATATTACTATTTCCTATACATTACCTCCTTTGGATAGAAATATCCTGCAACTTAAATTTTCCATTAACTTAATATAAAGTATGCAGAAGATTCTGGTATAACCTTTTTCATTGGATAAAAGGGAATTTCCTATAAACATTTTAATAACTAGCTTTATGTACTATTTCTATTAACTATGATTATGTAAAAAGTAGATAATACCTGATTTATTGAGAGTAATTCCAGTTGTATACAGGAAATTGTCCACTTTCAAAAACTGTTGTAGAACTGTAAGATAGCCTGTTACATTGCTAATGTGATGGTTGTCGGGTAGTTTAATTAAGGCTTTTGAAAACTGAACACTTGGTTGAGATTTGGCATCTGGAAAAGGGAAACCTCATTAACAAATAGACAAATGCATATCAAGCAGAGCATCATTGCTTAGGACACTTTAACATCTCATAATTACTATTTTAAATTCAAAACTGAAATAAGTAAGAAATCTTCCTTTCTTTAGATCACACAAGGCCCTTTACCCTAGAAACTGCTTGATTCTTCTGTCCAGAATTTCTTCACCCTTTTTATGGGTTTCACTCCAGGACCCACATACCATTTTAGTCCATATGGTTCACTTGGGGTTTCATTTCTGTAACAGGAGTAGAGTTAATGGTGCATTCCAGAATGGGCTGGAACCAATCCACGTGTCATTCCATTTATAAATGTTATCTCATGTTAATAACTTTGAATTGACTATTCTTTAATATAACTTAGGGAGTGAGAACTCACAATATTGATACTTCTGTAATTAATGTATTTTTAACAATCTAAGGGTCAACTCTTAAATCACTAAAACTTATCAAAACATCAACTATTGCTTTGACTTTAAAGGCCACTGATAAAGACAGAAGCAATCAGTTAAATTAGAATTTTAAAAGTTCGTTTCTAAATAGTTACATGATAAATGTAATATAATTATCAAAATCAGTATGTAGTTTACATATGAAGCTAGAAAAATAATACCTGGAAAATAAGGGATATAAATAAAAACAACATACTTACATTATTCTTGTTTGGTTAAATTGTTAAATTTAATCGTTAATTGTTTAAATAATCTTATACCTTCCGTCTGATCACTTTACCCATACTATCTACACATTACTCTTTTAAAATGTGTCTTGAATTTCAGATTAATGGAAGCTAACTGAGACATGAAAACTGAATGCAATACCCGACCCTAAAATGGAGTTGGGGAAAAAAAAAATGTGTCAGTGGACAAAACGGGAATTTGGATGGTAAGTTATCCTATCAAAATAATTTTGCTGAACTGTGCCATGGCCACTTAATATCCCTAATTCTTAGGAATTGCATGCTTAAGTATTTAGAGGTAAAAGGCCATATGTGTAACTTACTTTCAAATGGTTCAGAAAAAAAAAAAAAAAAAAGAAGCATACCCAGAGCACAAATACACATAGTAATGCAAATGGAATAAAATGTTATTAATAGGTGAATCTGAGTAAAGGGTATACAGGAGTTATCTGTCTCTGATTCTTCCAACTTTTCTGTATTTTGAAATTGTTTCTGTATTTGAAGTTATTTCCAAATACAGAGTTAAAAACTTAAAATATGTGCCTTAATTATGTTGAAGCCCCAAATTTCTTAGAATTGAAAACATGTACACTCAGTAAAATGTCTGGCTGAGCTTCTCTAAGGTTTGTACATTCCTGAAGTTTCTAATTTCTCCTGCTCCCTTTCCCACAAATACACACAAGCCTAACACATTTTCATTGCATAAACCATACACTTTTTTGATCAAATCCTGGAAAAAAAAATATAAGCATTTTATGGAAGTTGAGAATGAGGATGGGCATTTTCTAAGGAAGGATTTAACATCTGCAGAAACATCCATCCCTTCCTCATTAGCCCTATCAATAGGGAAATGAGGCAGTAAAAGGAAGTGATCTGAGACCTCAAGAGAGCTCCGTGTTATGGAGACGCACCAAGACATAGCTAGTATTTTCCAGACAAATGACTGTTCACTATTGCTTGGTAAAATGCAAAAGAGTGGCCCATGGACACGTTCGCACTAATCCATTTCATATATTCTGGAGGAAATTACAATTTGTAATGGGGTTTGAAGAGGACAGTAAGGACTAGGAAGGTGCCAAAACAAAACCAAAACAAATTGCTGAAGAGGGACTGTTTTTGTTAAGGTCCCAACAGCATAAAATGTAGCCTCTCTCTGTCGTCAGTAGTTCCAATTTACTTGTCATCCGTCTATGCACAATGCTGAAGAGGGACTGTTTTTGTTAAGGTCCCAACAGCATAAAATGTAGCCTCTCTCTCGTCAGTAGTTCCAATTTATTTGTCATCCGCCTATGCAGAATGCCATGTGCACCCATTTGGCCGTTCACCAGCAAACTCGGCAGCTCACAATTCTGTTAAATGCATTCGAGTTCAAGAGTTAAATGCATTCGAGTTCTGCTACTTTCCTCAGTAAATGACTCCAAAATTAATCATGCCTGAGTTTAATTTTTTTCCCAAATAATATTTCTTTTTTAATACTTTAGAAATAAATAAGATACCTTCTGAAAATGAACTTTCACAATTTCTTTTACCATGACTGTTACTGGACTCTACTTTTGAAGAGTTTCTGCTTCTACCAGTCATTACTATTATGCTCAGTCCTAAACATTAATTCCCCAATACAAAAAAAAAAAAAAAAAAAAAAGCCAATTGTCGTCATCTATAGAGGTTCTATAGAGGTTTTATACAATATGCAGTAAAAGAGTGACTAAATGCTGGGGTTTCCCCCTAAGGACTATTAAGGAAGATGGAGGGGCGGAGGTGGGGGGAGAGGTAAGCCTGAAACGGTCTTTCTTGTGGTTGGTAAAGTGAAACTGGAGACCACAGCTTGAATCAGACCTAAAATAAGGCTTCCTGTGGTATATGCAAGTGGGGTAAATCCCATCTGCTGAGGGAAGACCTTACCTGGTCTCGGGCTTTTCCCTGCTCAGGCAGCAGGCTTAATGCTAGATGCAGGGATGAAGGTGCCTGCAAATTAGAGAATCCTAAAGTTTTCCCAATTTCACGAACCACTAAAGCCCAGTGAGAGACGTGTTTTGAAAAGAAGTTGAGAATCTCTGTGCAACATTTCCAAAAGTCAAATGTACCTACTCGGGCAGGGGTGGGAGGTGGTGGTGGTGCTAAAATGGTAAAGGACGAGTCCCGCTCCCCAAAACCCCCTACTGTAGTCTGACAGTGAAATAAGAATCCGTTCAGATCAACTTAGAGCAGTACTAATCCTCCCTGATCAATTTAGGGTTTTTTCCAAGGGATAACCAACATTGATTCACTAGTGAAGTACAGTTACATAATTCAAGTGACAATAATCACTTTAAGTTTTTACTTACGAGCTGAGAAGAGTTGTACTTACCAGCTAATTTCCCAGTAATTAAAACAGTGTCTTCAAAGAGCCATATATTTGCTTGGCTTTGCGGGAACAGTGAAAGTGTAACTGATGAATATACTGTGAAATATAGCACAATTAAAATGTTTTATTAAATGTGGGGGGAAACTAGGTAAATATAGTCTATTCCAGCAGTCCCTAAAATGTGGGGGCAAGGGGCGGGGGGGAACTGTGGAAACAAGGAAACATAAATGTAAAGTATGATGGAGGGGGGAAATAGAAGATACAATAAAGTGAGAAAAAAAGGCCAGGGGTCAATTTTATTTTACTTAAGCCTATTTCCAGTAGTTTGTACCAAAGTGACTACTGATGTTCCCTAACCCCAGTTATATACGGTCTGGTTAAATGCTTGAATAATCCTGAAGAATCCTCTGCTATTTTCTCTATTTAATGGTTACTTGTTATTTCCTTCTAATGATTTTTAAAAAATCTTGGCTCCACAATTCAAGGTTCTCTGAGATAGAGGCTACATCCACTGCTTGCTTTTTTTTTTTAAACTTCCTGCATAAGGGCGCAGTGCGCTTCATCACACAGTAGGGTTTGCCAGCCTCTGGGTTGGCAGAGCAGGAAAACAGTTGAACATATAATGAACAAATGATCCACAGGCAACCATTGTTAGTAATGCAGGAGGAGGCCAGATCTGCCTGCAAGAGTAGGCGCCTTCAGTAACTGGTGCGACAAGTGCAGAGGACCTGAAAGATAACTACATTATTTCAAGGTCAGAAGCAGCAGGAACAAAAGACCATTTTATAAGAACAGATCAAATAAACTTACTAAAAGTGAGTTCTCATTTGATAGCTTTCCTCTATCCAATATAAGTATTTGAATTTAATAGAAATAACATAATATCCCTAAATCACTTAGGACAGGATAAAACAGATTTGCATGGGAATACTTTTCATGTTTTAAGATATTTCAAAGAGCTGTAAAGGAAATAGAAAAAAGAAGATAAAACACAAAAAGATATGAATGGATATAAAACAAAATATACTTTTTCCTGCAATAGGAAAAGAAGACTACCAGGCAAAAGTGTAATTTCAATTCAGAAGCCATTAATAGACTAATTAATGGCTTTATTAGATTGGAGAGAAAGTGTTAGGGTAGTAGCTTGGACCTTGAGATGATTGTAATTAGGGCACTTTCCCATATTTGGCCACTCTCTCAGTCACAGGTAGCTTAAAATGGGGGCAGCCCTGACAGTTTAAGGTTATGAAACCTGAGGAAAATCTTCTGAACTTCACTAAAATTTACATGTAGATTTCCTTTCACAGACAAAATGTTTCTCATTATAAAAGGGATGAATATCCACTATGGAAAGGTTGAGAAATAAGGAGAACAAAGTGATGGTCATCACAATCCCACAACAAAGACAATAACTATTAATATTTCAGTATACTCTTTATGGATTTTTTCCTGTGATTTTTTTAAAAAAATAGTATAATATTATATACACAATATTTTTACCCTACTTTTTCATTTAAGGTAATATCATAAGCATTTCTGTCCCTCAATAGAAACCTTTTCTAACATTTTCAAGGTCACATATTTCATTTCTTGAAGTATCAAAACTTACTGAACCACTATACTAATATATACTTAGATTGTTTTCATTTTCACTATTATTGCAAAAATAATCAACATCCTTGTATATGAATATCTGTCAAATTTAGTTATTTATCTATCTGTTTTTAGGAGAGATTACTAGCAGCAGAATACTGGTCAAAGGTTATGAAGATTTTGAAGACTTTTGACACACATATTTCAAAGTTGTTATCCAGATCATTTTGCTGACTTGTACTTCCACCAGCCATGTTTGAGGATACTCATCACACCTCACTTTGTCAACACTGAGTATGCACTTTTTAAAAATGTTTCTAAGGTGAAGAATCTAAGAAATGTGTATGTCTTTGGTGTACAAATCTGAGACTCTTACGAAGATAAAACATTTTGTCACATTTAGTGACAAATCATTAGTTTTTCTCTTTTTGAAAATTGCTAGGTCATAATTTTGTCCATTTACCTTATTTATTTAGCCAGGGCCTTGGTGTTTTCTTACTAATTTGTATGAATTATTTGCATATTAAGAATATTCTGGGGTGCCTGGGTGGCTTGGTTGTTAAGGGCCTGCCTTCGGCTCAGGTCATGATCCCAGGGTTCTGGAATCGAGCCCTCCATCGGGCTCCCTGCTCAGCCGGGATTCTGCTTCTCCCTCTCCCACTGCCCCTGCTTGTGTTCCCTCTCTCGCTGTCTCTCGCTCTCTGTCAAATAAATAAATAAATAAATAAAATCTTAAAAAAAAAAAAAAAAGAATAGTCCTCCTATCAGCACCTGGGTGGTTCAGTGGGTTAAGCGTCTGACTCTTGGTTTTGGCTCAGATCATGATCTCAGGGTTGTGAGATCAAGTCCCACGTTGGGATTCTCTGCCTCTCCCTCTGCCCCTCCCCCTCCTTGTGCACTCTCTCACTTGCTCTCTCTCTCAGATCTTTTAAAAATATATTACTTCTTGGGCACCTGGGTGGCTCAGTTGGTTAAGTGACTGCCTTCAGCTCAGGTCATGATCCTGGAGTCCCGGGATCAAGTCCCGCATCGGGCTCCCTGCTTGGCAGGGAGTCTGCTTCTCCCTCTGACCCTCCTCCCTCTCATGCTCTCTGTCTCTCATTCTCTCTGTCTCAAATAAATAAAAAATTAAAAAAAAATCTTTAAAAAAAAATATATTACTTCTTATTGTCTCATATTTTTCCTTGGACCTATTTCTTAGAGATATAATTAACAATTTATTAGCTTCAGGTGTACATGATTCAGTATTTGTATATATTGCAAAATGATCACAGTAAGTCTAGTTAACATCCACCACCATAGTTACATTTTTCCCTGTGATAAGAACTTTTAAGATCTACTCTCTTAACAACTTTCAAATATGCAATACAGTATTATTAACCATAGTCACCATGCTATATAGTACCTTTTTTAAAAATAGTGAAATCTGCTTTTTATGACCTCTTTCATTACTTTTAAGTTTATGCAGGCCATCCTAATTTTTAAAAAATCACGTAGTTTTTAAAATTTTCTTGTATTTAATAGGATTTGATTTTCCACATTTGAACTCTATGAGAAATATATTTGGAATATGAAACCTAATTCATTTACTCCAGATAATTAACCAAAACATCCTAACACTACTTACTGAATACTCAGCCTTTTCTCACTGATTTATAATGGTACCTTATCATAGATTACATTTTCTTATACATGTTAGTATCTGATTTGTATCACAGAGTTTTAATTGTGTAGCTATATAATATTTTAGTTATTTGAAATGGCAAATTGCCTCTAATAAATATTCTTTTAAAATGATTTCCAGGTTTTTTTATACATTTATTCTCTGAGGATTATTCAGCCAGGATTTTTTTTAATGCATTAAAATCTATAAATTAGGAAGAACTGAAATCTTTACAATATTCAGGCTTTCTAAAGAAATTATAATGTTTTGCCATTTACCCAGGGTTTTAGTTTTTAGTTTTCTTTTTTTAAGGTCTATCAGTAACATTTGGTAGTTTTATTTTCCCAAACCCATGGTTATTTCACACTTTTTTTTAGGTTTCCCTGCATATTTTGTTTGCCCTTGTTGTTCTGAGAGGGATTTCATTATTTTCCATAACCGCTGACTACTTCTGGTATATAAGAATATGTATTGATTTGTACCAATGCTTATTCCACACTCAGTAATTCTGTCAAATTCCATTAATTCCATTAATTTTGAGCATTTTAAGATTCATGCTTTGTAATTTTCCAGGGATATGATGATAACTGGAAATAGTAAATGTTTTGATTCTTTCTAATAGCTATTCCCCTTTTTTGGTCTGTTGATATATATTTGCTCTGATAAGAACTTCTGTAATGTAAAATAATATGGACATCTGTGTTCAGTTTCTTATTTTATTAGGATCACCTCTAATATTTTATAGTTAGTGTGATTTTGAGATATTTACCATGTTAAGATCTTTGTGGTCCTAGTTTTCATGGAGCTTTTATGTTCTTAGTTATGCACAAATGGTGAACTCATAAAATGCATTTCAGACAGTTTGTATTTCAGTGTTATCATCTGATAGTTCTAATATGATATGTAAAATTAATAGAATGACACACTTGACATCCTTATAATCCTGTAAAGAAAAATCCTACTTGGTCTTAACAGAAATCTCTATTTAAATAATGGTGAAATTCTTTTTTACTATTCTGTTTAGGATTTTTGTATTTAGAGTTATAAGTAAGATTGGTCTACAGAAGAGTATTTGTATGTATGAGAGAGAGCACATATTAGAGCATTTAATTTTGCATTACCTTTGTTAGGTCTCAGAATCAAGGCTGTACTGGTTTTATAAAATGATTTGGAGTACCTTTTTTTTATTTTTAATAGCCTTTGAATCAAGCTATTTTTACTCAGGATATTTTATCCATGGCTATTAGTCTACCTCATCTAAAATCAACATAATCATTTATAGTATCACAAAATTGTTTTAGGTTTTTTAAGATTATTTAAGATTATTGCCATCAAATTTGATATAGAACATTTTTATGGTTTTTAAAATTTTATATATATTTTTCTCTTTTACTTGCCTGTTTAGATTAGCCAGATGCATGTGTAATTTATTTCAAAGAACTAGCATTCTGTCAATTATCTCTTCTTTATATTTTCTTTTTTTTTTTTAAAGATTTTATTTATTTATTTGAGAGAGAGAGAATGAGAGAGAGCATGAGAGGGAGGAGGGTCAGAGGGAGAAGCAGACTCCCCGCTGAGCAGGGAGCCCGATGCGGGACTCGATCCTGGGACTCCAGGATCATGACCTGAGCCGAAGGCAGTCGCTTAACCAACTGAGCCACCCAGGCGCCCATCTTCTTTATATTTTCTAATTAATGTTCATCTACTTTCATCTTTATTTCCTTTTTCCCATCTTACTTTTGGTTTCTTTCATTATTCTTCTAACTTTCATTTAGTGATTAATTGTGCTTGATTTCTGTCTTTTAAAAAAAACTAAAGCATGTAAGACCATGAATTCACCTTAGACATATCCCTATTCAGACTTTTGAGTCATGATTTTATTAAATCTCATTCACAGGAATCTTAGTTTATCTAATTCATTTTCCATTTTCTTTCACATTCTAAACTTGAACAGTGGTTCAAGAATTTAAATGTTTCCAATGTGAAACCAAATAAAGTATCTAAATTCTATTAAGAACCATCACAATTAAAAAAAAAAAGAAAAAAGATATATTACCTAATGTATCACACTTCCAATCAGCCAGACTTGCATTCCAGTATCTTGTATGGCCTGTACTTCCCAATAGCCAATTAGTCACACTAAGTCCTATCAATTCTTATTTTTTCCCCTCAGATGTATTGAGATATAATTGACATGACAGTGTAAGTTTACGGTGTGCGTGATGATTTGATATGTGTATATATTGTGAAATGGTTACACAGTAATTACCAATTCTTTGCTCAGTACGTGTCTGGTACTCACCTTCTTTTCACCCCCTCTCTTGCATCAGGCTGTGGTTACCACCCACCAGGAGCACAACCACAGCTTTGGAACAAGGCTCCCTGCTTTTGGCCTAAATGTCATACACTGTTAAATAAATTCAGTTTCCAAACAACTTACAGTTATGTGTTTAAGAATCTGTAATAACGGCCTTATTATTCAGCACATAAATCTAAACTTTGTGCCTCCTCTTTTGAAAGCATCCTTTCTTCATCTGGCCCACCCTGCTTCTGGCTAACCCTCTGGGCATACCAGGCCCCTCTCCGCCACCTGCAGACAAGCTTTGTACCTGAACAGAGCTCTTGCTCAGGATTCCTTCAAACCTCTGTAGGATAGACTGATTGATTAATTAATTAATAAAAACAAACATGTTTTCTTCAAACTGGCACTCCTTCTAACCTCTCTGTAGTGACTTCACATAGATTTTCCCATTTTCAGTTCACCAGAGCAAAAGATTCCCAAAGAAGAAAAAAACAAAAAACAAACAAAAAACCATTCACATTCAGTAAAGGCAAAACACTGTGTAAGTGCTTACTTGGCATTTTTCTGGTCTTCCAAGGCAGAGGTGTCAACACGTAGCCATCTTTGTAAGCAATGATGGTTAAGCTGAGTCCTAATTTATAGAGTACTTTTATCAACACTGCTCCATTGTTTTTAGTTACTGTGGAATTTGTTTTCGTGTAGTTTACAAACACTTCTACAACTGCTTGACTCAGGTACTGACGACTGATGATGTCATTCACCTGCACTTTCAGCATAAATACAGACACTGGAGGAGAAAAAAAGCCAGAAATGGCAGCATGTTAGATCCTAGAACGTATATGTCGCTCTACCTTAAAATGTCATTCAAGACATCTCAATAACAGTACAAAACTGCTGATAAAATCTGGAAATACATAATGTATGCATGAATTGATAGAAATAGGTATAAAAACATTCCAACAAGTTCATTATTCTTTCTAAAACTGAATAAATTTGAATTTATTATTAATAAGACAGTGTTATTATTCCAATTTTTTCTGCCAATAAAAAAGGAAAAGGAAGCAGTGAATCTGAGGGGAAGGGAGGTTCGTTCTTCAGAAAAACACATTTTTACTTGGCCTCACTAATCCTAATGCTACCAATTAATTCAAAATACAGTCAAAGTTCCTAGAATAAAATGCAGTCTCACCAAACCTAGTGCATGGCTGGCTCCTTTTTTTTTGTTCTGTTGTCTGGAAAGCAAGGGATGTGTTTCAAATTACAAAGTATCAAAACAATATCCTTCAAATGTCAAAAAGTATTATCTGTTAAATATATATAACAAAGCATAGTAAGATAATAAATTGAGGAAAATCAAAATTAACTTATTTCTAACTTAAACCTCCAGCTTTATAGATCTTGACGATATGTTCATGAATTTCCCCAACGTTAATGTCTTGTTTAAAAAGAACTTGTATCACCATGCAAATGCCTTTGTAAAGCATGTATCACAACATCTTTGCCAAAGATGACTTCTCTTCCACTACTAACGGGCTTTGGAGTCAGTCAAGGTCAATCACTGCCATTCCCTAGATACGTGACTTGGGGGAAGTTGACTTTTCAAAGTCCATTTGCTCATCTGTAAAATCAGGAGAATAACTACTTTGAGGTAATAAAATGAAATAATGCAAATAATGTGCTCAGCACAGTGGTTGGTTTTCACTTAATATCATTATTAATAATAAAAATTATTACTCCATAATTGGAGACCATTTCACAAACATCAGAGTCATCAGTAAAAAATACCTCAAGAGGGTTGCCTGGGTGGCTCAGTCAGTTAAGTGTCTGACTCTTGGTTTCCGCTCAGGTCATGATCTCAGCATCCTGAGATGGAGCCCCACATCGGGCTCCCCACTCAGCGAGGAGTCTGCTTCAGATTCTCTATCTCTCTTTCTCTCTCTCTCTCGCTTTCTGTACCAACCCCCACCCCACACATGTGCTCTCTCTCTAAAATAAGTAAATACATCTTTTAAAAAAATACCTCACAAGGACTTATTTTGTGGCTATACATTTACAAAACCCCATTTTACTCAAAATTTTTAGCAAGAACAGCATGTCAGGTAAAAAATCCTCGTCAACACTGAGCTGCAATATCAGCTACCAAATTATTGTTACACCTTATGTATTCTAACTTTATTAATATAAACTAGACTTCAAATTGTTTTTGGACCATAACAAAGACATTTTAAGTACAAGTAGAACTACTGCAGTAATCACCCAGTCCTAGGAAAGATATAATCTAGCAAGCTAGAAAAAAGCTCTGATTCTTTCAAAAATCTAAAAATTGAAGGGGCGTCTGGGTGGCTCAGTCATTAAGCGTCTGCCTTCGGCTCAGGTCATGATCCTGGGGTCCTGGGATCGAGCCCCCACATCGGGCTCCCTGCTCCGCGGGAAGCCTACTTCTCCCTCTCCCACTCCCCCTGCTTGTGTTCCCTCTCTCGCTGTGTCTCTCTCTGTCAGATGAATAAATAAAATCTTTAAAAAAAAAAAAAAGATTAAAAAAAATTTTTATGGGCACTTGGGTGGCTCAGTTGGTTAAGCGTCTGCCTTCAGCTCAGGTCATGATCCCGGGTCCTGGGATCAAGCCCCGCGTAGGGCTCCCTGCTCCGCGGGAAGCCTGCTTCTCCCTCTCCCACTCTCCCTGCTTGTGTTCCTACTCTCGCTCTCTCTCTCTGTCAAATAAATAAAATCTTTAAAAAAAAAAAAAAAAGTCTAAAATTGAAGTCAAATGTTACCCAAACACTATTTTATATATATTCAGACACAAACATTTTTAGTGTATTTCCTCTCATGAATCTTAATAAAATATGTTAGTACTATATATAATCATTATAACCACAAGAACTAAAATATGTTGAGCATTAATGAGCCAGGCATCGTGTTAATTTTAAGTGCATCATTCCATTTACTCTTCAAAGCCCTCATTACAGAAACGTTACTGTTTTCTTCGTCATATATATTGGTAGCTGCGGGTTAAAGGAGTCTGTTAATCAGCCACGGCCAACCCACAGCAGAGAAAGGAAACAGGACACAAACTTGGGACCATCTCTCCTCCAAGCCTGTGCTCTCGAGCTACCGCCCCGTATAGCTGCCTGACTGAACTCTGCAGGCAACTCCAGCCAGAGCTTAGAGGGCAGAGATGGGGAGAATGAATTGGGGAAAGAAAGGGAGGATTACATCCTAGACAGTCATTCCTTGAAATGAGGTTCCGTTAGTCTGTCTAAAACACTGTTAATTTCCAGGACAATAATCTCATATATATTCACATATATATGGAGAATAGATAAGACATCGTTTCACATTATCTTATACGTTCACCCCATTACTCTAAAGATAAAAAAAAAATCATGTTTGTAACATTTAAAATCAAAATATGAAGAAGGGCTGGGTATAAACATGTTCCTAATGCCAAGCCTCGCACGTATATTATCACAAAAATCTCCATATGCCTTTGTAACGTGTGTGATATCAAGTCCGCTTTACCAGTGAAAAAATGAGGATTCAGACAGGTAATGTGGACTGTCCCAAGGCTCACATACATTAAGAGGCCCCGTCAGCCTTCAGTGTCCCCATGAATGACTCCAAAGCCATCTTTACGCCATGTAACGGAGTCCTGGGGTCATACTACTAAAATTAACTCCAGGAATATGGTGTTGCAATTACTGAGAAATGCTTATATAACATCAATTAAAAAGGAAAAAAAGGGTGTTCCCCAGCACACACACACACATGCTAAACTATGGCCTCAAACTCAAGTGGGAAATGTAACTGGGGTAAAAACATAAATAAAAGGTTGTAATATTTGTGACATGATGGCCACCTAAACCAAACTCCTTGAATAGGTCTGCCGAGTACAAATAGCTATTTATGTGTGGAGGACAAGAAGTTGCCCCATTCAAAATAATTCCCCCAGCCTCCTAGCTCCTAAACCCTCGATGAAATTCACTGAGCCACTGGCACAAAGTGCCTAACTAATGGGGGCCGGAAAGATTCTGTGAGGACCTCAAAATGTGGCTGAAGATACACAGAAGCTAGTGGTTTCTGGCACGGAAACATCTTAGAAAGTCTACGCGTGCCTACCCACTGTGCTTTCCCAAGTCTCCCTGCCCCCTCTCCTTCCCAAGGCTGGTCATACAGCCCCTCTGGCTGATCCGTGAGCTGTACCATAATCCCTCCCCAAAGGCCCTTTATTCCTTGTAGCCAGAGTCAGACATGGTTGCTTGCTTCCAAAGCAAGCACCTTAAATGATAGAGGGTACAACTGTAAACATAGGATGTGTTATTTAATGGGCTACCCTATCCTTCATAAGAGAAGGTGAAGGAAGGGTAATGTTATGTACCAGAAATAGGGTAAAACATATGAGAAGGAGACAGCACATAACTAAAAGGGCATTAAGATTCTCTCATAAAATTTGATAATGGGTCTTATTCCAATCGAGTATACCTACAATGGCTCCTACAACAGCTTATTCAGGAATGGGAATTTTGATTAAATCATTTGCTCCAAAGATTAATTTCAGAAATTCTCAGAGCCTTTGATTTATAGACAAATTCCAATGTATAGTAAGATCTTGAGCTAAATTCATTAAAAAAAACTCTGTGTATTCCACCTGTTTCATCCTGTAAAAATACAGTTGCCAAAATAAGATACACTAAAGCCTCCTGACATTCTGAAGCTGGGTTTGATTAATAAATGTTTCTAAAACATTTTCTAATCCAGAATGATTTTATTTTTTCACATGTAATCATTATGTTAAAGACTAAATTTGATGAGAAAATGAATATCAAATTCAGGGAAAAAAATGACTTGCCAAGGTCAAACTTTGGCTTTGTGCACCTTGGATCTCATAGCCTCTGGACAGGATGTAACCCTGATCAGCAGAGTCTTCTCTAGCTCAAACTGGAAAAAAATAATGGTTATTTGTGACACACACACACACACACACACACACACATACACCAAGCCCAGTGCTAGAAACTTTATACATGTTGTCCAATTTCATCCTAATACAAACCTGCAAGACTTTTCCCCCGTGTTAAGGCAAGGAAACTAAGGCTAAAATTGCACAAATTAAGAAGGGTAGAGGCAGGATTCACAGACAAGTTCATCTGACTCCAAGTCCCATGCATTCTACTCGCCACATCTCTCAATGAAAAGACTTAGATCGGGTTTTCAGCATATTCCGCAGCTTCCTTATTTCCTTCCATCCAGTGTGGAGAAGGAAGTGCTTGATTTGCTGCTGACCCTCTGAGCCTCTCACCCCAGCCCCCCACCTGGTTTGTCTGGCGGAGCATAAGCAACAGCAAACCTAGCATTGAAAAAAACAAAAACAAAAAGTCTCAGCTGGAGGCCAGCTCACTGCAATTAAAGGAGCATGAACAATTCTTTTTCCTCCAAATAAAAGGAAAAGTTGTAAAGATTGCCTATTCGTGACTTAATTAGGATGCTTCTGACTTCCATGATGTCAATAGCTGATCAGGCAAACAGGCCTGGCAACCAGAAGTTTTATATATATATATATATATATATATATAATCTCCATATATATATGTATATATCCAGATATATATATAAAATCTCCATAACAATCCCCCTTACTGGTTCTCTCCAACAAAAATACTTTGGCATTTAGATGGGGCAGATTCTGTGGTTAAATATATAATTTTCAACCACAGGTGCTTTTGTCTCCATAATCTATCTACCCTTCTCCACTGCATTTTTCAGCTTTCCCTGCACTCACTATTTTCT